CGAACTTCACTGTGTGTTTTCTGTGGAGTGAGTCAATAGAAATATACCACAACAGACACACAACACAGTCACAAGTGTGAAGGAAGTATAACCCCCTCCACAGACACACTGTCTATTTGTGTCCCCCCCCTTTATAGACACACCCTCAAAGCACTGGCGCCAACATCTAACCCCCTCCACCCACCCTTAACTGACCTCTAATTATGTCATGCAAAAAAAAGCTGTGCCCCATTCAAAGTCTCCCCTTAATCAAACCCAATTAATTCTGCTGTTTTCCCTTATTATCCTCTGCAGGGACAGCGTCCTTCCAGTGAGACTGTTAACTACAGCTGTGCTCCTCTCAGGTCTACAGGAGCAAAATAATGCGATTAATCAAATATGCTTTCAATTGTTCATGATGAACGCAGGGGCTGTGCAGGGGAGGTTTGCTAGAGCACTTCACTTGCACTTTACTTCACAACTTGACTGTCCACGAGGAATAAGAGGGCCGGCAACTGAGGAGGGGGCGGGCCAAAGACACCATCTTAGCACCAACATAACTGGTTTGTTCCACTTTGGAGTAAGCTGTTTGGGGGAAGAATCAGTTTTGCGTTGTGTGTTTCCTTGACTGATGAAGCCTTCTGGATGGAAGGTGAAATGTTTCAGAAAAAAAAAAAAAGAAACTGTCCAGATGACCTGACTGAAAATTGTTGAATGTTTCAAAGAAGATTTCTGCAACTCCAGGATGAAATGTTTCACCCTGGTTCATGCCAAGGCGATATTATAAACTTTTACACAACCATCTCTGCTACATTATCAGTTTTTGACTAAATATACCAAGTCATCTACCATCTGCTATTGGTAACGATAATAATTCATGTTAAGCATGTTTTGAAAACACAACATGTTAATTATAACCAAGCAGATAGAAAATTAATGCATAGTAAAAACTGGTTAAAAAAATTGTTTGCTTGAAAAACCACTATACATTTTTTATATGACACTACGTTACTTTTGCTTTAGATCGTTACCCTGCTTGGTAATGATTTGAATGGAAACATGCATATAGATAACATAGGCCCATATAAATCACCTTGATCTACAAAAAGTGATAGTTGTGCATAAGTTTATTTACAAAGGGTTTGTGACATTCTGGAGATTAGAGTTGTTTAAAGATGTCAGAAATCCACTTTGAATTTAGCCTAATTGTTAACTCGACTGCACGATTAAAACTTTTCTTTCTTGATTCTTTAAACTGAGATCATTCAGACTGCATGTTAGATGATAATTACTGGGGGGGTGCTCAACTCATTTTACATCCTTCCAATCTTTAGATCTGTTTACAACCTTTTACTGCTCCTTTCACATTTTGTTCTGGTTCAGCTTCTTTCAGCTGCCTTATGCAAATATTAACTTTTTTCCAGCTACTTTCAGCTAATTTCAACTGGGATTTTGTTTAGCTGTTTTGTGCTCTTTTTAGATTCATTCTGCTAACTACAACATTTCTGTGCTTCTTCTAACTTCTTTCTGCTAATTTCAGCTTGTTATGCTCCTTTCAGCTTATTTCTACAAGTTTCAGCGTTTTCTGCTATTTCAGCTACAATTTAGCTGTTTGATGCTCATTTTAGATTTTTCAGATAATTCCACATTTGTTGCACTCATTTCAACTTTATTCAACCTAATTCAGCACAAATGTGCTTTCCACTTCCTTCTGGTAATTTAAGCTTCTTTCTGCTTTTTTTAAGCTACTTATCAGCTATTTTTTGGTAATTTCAGCTTTTTTCAGAAAATTTCCACTTCTTTGTGCTCATTTCTGCTTCTTTCAGCCTAATTTGACAATTGTGTTCTTTCTGCTTTCTTCTGCTAATTTAAACTTGTTTGATCTTCTCAGCTATTAGCTACATTTTTAGAATTTTTAGCTAATTTCAGCTCTTTCCATTTCATTCTGGTAGTTTAAGCTTCTTTCTGCCTTTTTCAGCTACTTTTCAACTATTTCTTTTGCTAATTTCAACTTCTTTAGCTAGTTTCTGCATTCAGTTCTGCTTATTTAAACCTAACTCAGCAACTATGTATTCTTTTATTTTTCTTCTGCTAATTTAGGCTTGTTCTTTCTTTTCAGCTAAAACTCAGCATGTTTTTTTTAGCTAATTTCAGCTGTTTTTTAGCAAGTTCTTCAGCAATAAGCATTCACACTGCATTTTGCAGGAAATGCCTTTTCTCTATTCATTATTTGGAATGTTAAATATCATGGTAATGTTTTTCAAAAATGTAATATTTTGCTATTTTAACTTAGGATAAGGCTTTCGTTATCATTTAATTAAACGTTGATGCTAAACCATATTTATGGAGTCTTATTTTTGACCTATAAACATTTATGACAGCTTTTTTCCACTTCCTCTGTCTTGATAGCACTTCTGAACTAAAGTCAGGTGAAAGCTGTAATGCATATGTGTCAAACTCAAGGCCCGGGGGCCAAATATGACCCTCGTTGACATCTTTTCTGGCCCCCAAGATGATATTTTAAACATAAAATACTTTTGTCTCTTGAATTTTTTTCAGTAATCTTTGTTTATAATGTTGAAAACACAAAAGAGAACATCAAATGGGACCGATCAAACTCTTGTTGAGCAACCTGTGACCAAGAAAAGATGTCGGGTGTTTGATTTGAGTTAATGTAGATTCTGAAATTGGTCCTTAGTTGGAAAAAGGTTTTAACTTTGGCCCCCTTTTGTAAGTGAGTTTGACACCCCTGCTGTAATGGTTGCTTGACATCTGTCTCTTTGCATACAGTGGGGTTTGTCAGTAATCAGAGGTTGGCCTTTAGTTATAGAGAAGAGCACGTTTGTAACTCACACCTTTAGTCTAATCTTCTTAACTCAGTAAGACGTGATGCAGCATGAAGGTATGCAGATTCTGTCAGGGCTTGATGAGTTAAGTGGAACATCTTGCCTCCAGTTGCTTTCAAGGAA